GGCAGGGCTAGAACTATTTTCTGAATTAAGTGAAAGAAAAGGAACTTTACGTAGCTCTTCTATTTTCATACCCAATAACTTGTTTCCCCAAATATTTCTCTTAAAAAACGACTAGAAACTATTAGAAAGTTATCAAGTCATCAATAATAAATGTAGCTTTTAACTGGAGGGAAATAAAAAATTATCTATATAGAATAAGCATGAGAAAATTAAAAAGTAGTATTAAATCTGTACTACTACATTTTAAATATGTACTATCACAGGTCTCTCCTTCCAAAAAAGGTCACAGTTAGATCTGAAAACCTATTAATAAAAAAAATTAGAAACATTTTCAGCAACAGAAATCCTTTTATTTCGATGACTTCCATTACTGTCCAGCCCTGCCTCCACCCACTTCATCATACCCACTTCAGAACACCTCAGCCTGGGCATAGCCAACCCTCTGCGCTCTCTATGCCTTCACCTGTGCTGCTTGTGAATACACTGCAATGCCAATTTCACTTTAAATGCTAATGGATACTTTCTGCTCCCCAGGAGTCACACTATCATGTCTCTGGTCCATTCATCTCCCACACTCATACATCACTAGTTCACTCCGAAGTCCTCAACACTTCCACTCCCATTCCTATTTTTGGTAGATGATTCCTATTCCTGAGAGGAAATGGAAACAACCAGCAGAGAACTTCTACCACCACATCTCCTACCACCTGGCATCTAAGGCCACATTCTTGCTTTTGCTCCTGTTGTATGAAACACCTGTCTGTGCTCCATTCTAAGCATCCTCACCCCTCAGTTAATGAGGTAGGTTCAATTCCCTCCTGTCTGCTCACGGACACCACTGCAGAAATTCTGCAGCTTTCTCTTCTGCATCATCAGCTTCTCCCTCTTTACTGGGTAATCCCAGAATTAACGCAAACTTGATGTGATTTCTCCCATCTTAAAACAAAACAAAACAAAACTGCACCAGGCTCTTCTGCCAGCTATTTCTCAACTTCCCTTAAGAGCAAAAACTACTTTTAAAAACTGCCTATATTTGCTATCTCCAATTACTCCCTTCTTCCTCTTGGATCCATTCCATGATGCTAAATCCAACGGTCAATTCATTTTCTCCAGCATTTGGCAGCCAAGCACTTCCTCCTTGAGACACTTCCTCTACTTGGCTTCCAGAATACTCCTATCAGTTCTCTGCCTACCTGCCTCACTGCTGTTCTCTCAGTCTCTTACTGATTCCTGTTTATCTCATTTCAGCTTTGGTGTGGTCAATCCTTAAAATTCAAAGTGGGCTTTATTTATATTCATGCCCTAGATGACCTTATCTCATGACTTTAAATACTATGACATCCTGGTGACACCTTAATCTAGCCCTTTAGTTTGTGGCACTCTCCTGATTCCAGATTCATATATTCAACGACCTACTGGACATCTCCAGTAGGACATCTATCAAGAATCTTTTTTTTTAATACATTTTATTGATTTTTTTTATAGAGAAGAATGGAGAGGAAGAGAGTTAGAAACATCGATGAGATGAGAAAGAAACATCAATCAGCTGCCTCCTGCTCACCCTCTACTGGGGACGTGCCCGCAACCGCTCTTGATATGAATCGAACCTGGGACCCTTGAGTCCACAGGCTCTATCCACTGAGCCAAACCAGGTAGGGCTCTATCAAGAATCTTAAGCTTAATATGGCTATAAATGAATTTCTCATCAATCTTCCATCCTAAACCTGTTCCTCTTTCCAGTGTGCTTCATCTCAATAAATAGTAATTCCATACTTCCAGGGCTCAATGGTTGAACCTCTACCTATGAACCAGAAGGTTACAGTTTGAAATCAATAAAACTATACTAATAATTTAAAAAATTCCTTAAAGTCACTCTCTAAACTCCTTAAAGTCACCTTCAACCAACCCATTAGCAAGTCCCATTGGCTCTATCTTTAAATGCCATCAGAGTGAGCCACTTCTTACCACATCTGAGCAAGGAACTGGTGTCTTAGTTACTTCCAATAAAGTTTATTTCTAACTAAATTGGAACCAACACAAAAAATCTATACTAATAAAAGGGTAATATGATAATTAGACCAGGAAACTTTCTGGATGTCCTTCCGGACAAAGCCATGGTGGTGGGGCTGAGGAAGAGGCGGTTAGGGGTGATTAGGCCAGGAGAGGAGGGCAGTTGGGTGTAATCAGGCCAGCGGGGGGAAGCGGAAGAGGATAGTTGGGGGCAATCAGGCCAGCAGAGGTGGCATTTGGGGGAGAGAAGGCTGGGAGGTGGGAGGGAGGGGGGAGAGGGCACAGTTGGGGGCGATCAGGCCATCAAGTGGCAGCAGTTGGAGGCAAGAAGGCCAGCAGAGGAGAAACAAGTGTAATAATCTGAGCAATAAAGATATAAATAAATAAATAAATAAATAAATAAATAAATAAATAGTTTTATTGCCCTAGTGCAGTGGTTGGTAAACTCACTTATCAACAAAGCCAAATATCAACAGTACAAAGATTAAAATTTCTTTTGAGAGCCAAATTTTTTAAAATTTAAACTTCTTCTAATGCCACTTCTTCAAAATAGACTCGCCCAGGCTGTGGTATTTTGTGGAAGAGCCACACTCAAGGGGCCAAAGAGCCACATGTGGCTCGGGAGCTACAGTTTGCTGACCACTGCCATAGCAGGTTTGGCTCAGTAGATAGAGAGTTGGCCTTAGGACCAAAGGGTTGCGGGTTTGATTTGTGGTCAAGGACATGTACTTTGGTTGTAGATTCAATCCCCGGCTGTGAACAAAGGGAAACCAATAGATGTGTTGCTCTTATATCAATGTTTCTTTCCTCACTCTCTCTCTCTTTCCTTCATCCCTCCTTTCTACTCTCGCTAAAAATAAATAAATAAATAAATAAATAAATAAATAAATAAATAAAAAGTCAATTGAAAAAATATCCTCATTCCTCCAGTGAGGATTTAAAAAAATAAAAATTAAAAAATAATAATAATAATAATTTAAAAAAAAAAAAAAAAAGGCCAGCAGGTGAGCAGTTAGGAGACAGTGGGATCGGGCCTAAACCAGCAGTTGAACATCCTCCAAGGGGTCCAAGATTGGAGAGGGTGCAAGACAGCCTGAGGAAAATCCCTAACCCAATGCATGAATTTTGTGCACCGGGCCACTAGTATATTTTATAAAGCATTAAACAAAAGAAGAGATTATATGAACAATCCAAGTAATATGTAAAGAATATTGATCAGTGACTTAGACTTGTCTAGAAATATAAAAGTCCAAAGATATAGGAGTACCACAGACTCTCAGAGTGACCAGAGTATCTGGTCAAATTTGGTTCCTTTGATAAATCAATAGAGCTTTGATGTTTTTGCAAATGTGACTAAATAGTTAAAATGGCTTGAATGCTATAAGTTAATTGGGATACCCACATAGATTGTACTAGGAATAAACCTTTTTCTTCAATTAAATGAGCAAGTCAAAAATCACAGGTTGCAATATTAATTTCAGAAAATAAATTGGTGACAAGTACTAAGAGAATTGTTATATATAACAAAAAGCACAGTGAGAGACAAAAAATAACCAGAATAAATGTATAAGCCACACATACACAAATAGGTTGCATAGAAGAACCACTATTAAAAAATGTATGGTGAAGGCGAGGGTCAACCAGATGTCCTGGCCCAGACTTGGTCTCTGGTAGCAGATTAGAGTGATTGGGTTGACCCGTTTTCTGTGCAGATGAGATGAGCAGTTGAAGACAAGGTGCTGGTGACTGGGTGGGGTGGAGCGGGGCCACAGAGTAAATAAAATGTTGCCAGAATTAAAAAAAAAAAAAAAAAAAAATGTATGGAGGAGCCCTGGGTGGTTGGCTCAGTTGATGGAGCATCGTCCCATACACCAAAAGGTTTCGGGTTTGATCCCTGATTGCTTATAACTGAACAAACCTTACCAAAACAATTACATTTCCCGTGATTCTATTATTTTTTTTTAATTATTCATGTGTATCTTTCAAACTTCCCAAGATAACAATAAGATGCTTTATGACTTCAATCAAACTGCCTCTACAGACCTAGTACCGTACAATTGAAAAAGAAAACAGAAAAAGCACAAAGAGGAATTCTGTAGTCCATCCTGTGCTGCACCACCTACATCCTCCTTCAGAACTGAAGCATTCATTCTCCTAGCAACCAGGAATGCTGGCTGCTAACAGTTCACAGCAAAGATTCTAAGAAATGCCAACAGAGCCACCTCACCCAAGGTAATGCACCCTGCCCCTTCTTGGAGGTAGCCTGCATTCAATCATGCAGAAGTCCCAGTGCCCAGACTTCTTGTCTCAGTTCAGGACATCTTTGAAGGGCCATCCCCAGCTCCAGAGAAACTTATGGAATGAGCTGAGGCCTTTTCTGAAAATGCCTTAGAGTTAAACTCTACCTCTGTCCAATCCTGCTCCACCTCCCCTTAAGGTGGTGATTCTGAGACCACTCCCAAGTAAACTTCTTGCACATAAATCTCTGCCTTAAAGTTTATTTTCCAAAAAATTTGACTTGTATATTTTGAGGCTAATACTGTATCAGAGGGGGGAAAGTTAGGAAAAATTAGCCAGGTGCTGGGTTAATTTTCTTTTTACCATATCTTTCTTTTGAAGAATTCTGCCCATTTTCCATTTTTGTTGCTAGAGGAAAAAGGTACTGTTCTTTCCAGTAGCTTCCAACTTACAGGGACAGGTAGCTACTGCAGCCACTCTCCCCCACCCAGCAGGCACCCAGCCCTCCCTACACAGCAAGGGGCACCTCAAGCCCCAGCTCCCCATCCTGGGTCCTTCCTGCTGCTGCATTTCTAAAATCTGGTCCCTTCAGTGCCTGGCTCCGGGTGAAGACCAAAGGAGAGGAAGGGGTACAGCAGAGGAATCCATCTAGGAGAAGCTGATCCTGCTCCTTCCTCTGGCTGCTCCCCAGCTGGGCTCTGCCTGGAAGCCTGAGTCCAGGAAGCAGGAAGTGCTAATCTGTGGACAGAGACATGAACCCTGCTGGCAGTGTCTTCCTGCTGTTCCTTGTGCTGGGTGAGACTCAGATAGCCTGGGAAGGTGAGAAGGAGAGGTTTTTTGGCTCAAGAAGTTATGGTGTGGAATAAGATGACATGTCACCCAATGGGATCTTATTTATATGAGTGTGCCCTGAGAAAGTCCTGAGAGGATACTATATGCCAGGCATCTTTCTAAGTATCTTAGATATAGCAGTAAATAAAAGAGATCCCTTCCCTCGTAGGGCTTAGACGCAATGAACTTATTGAATATGTAACTCATATAGCACTTTAGAAAGTAATAAATGCTACGCGAGGAAGGGGCATCAGGAGTGCAGGGACTGGTGGCCTGTTGTCATTTTAAATAGGGGAGTCAAGGAAGATTTCATTAAGAGGGACTCATTTGAACTAAGATTTGAAGGAGATGATTGATTTGGTTAAGAGGATCTAGGAAAAGAGCATTTCTAGCCTAGGGAACTGGAAATGTAAATGCTGTTCAGTGATTTCAGCATAAGCCTGTTCATTTATTTTTTTGGCCCCCAGTGATTTAAAAGTAGGATAGGCTGAGAGTAGCCGAAAGATAACAGGTAACAAAAAAGGAAGATATACAAATACTGCAAAATGCCAATTTAGTTAAACAGGACAAAAGAAATCAGCTTATAAACCACAAAAACACCTGAAAGCATCACTGTATATACAACCTAACATCTTGATATTCCTGATGACAGCCTTGAATCACCAAGTAAAAATTAAATTATCTCCCACATATGCTGCTAAAGAAGGAAGGTAGGTATGTAAAAATTACCAGGATTTCCCACTAATGGGTAAACATATACAAAAGTTTTGCCTTTAACACCAACCTGAGGCATTTAGTACGAGGAAAGCCTTCCTGTTCAGTGAATGTAGATACTGCGTTATCATTAATATTAATGATATGGTGTGTGCCTATCATAGGGTCTTGGCGACGCTCTTCTTCCAAAAAGAAAGATCTACAGTCAGGTGAGTGGTCTTTATTTGGGCCCAAAATTGCTGGGTTTGGAGCTGAATTAGGATGGCACGTGGAGCTTAGGGAGGACACAGGTTCTAGGGGTGGGAATTGTAAGATATAGAGAAAATGGGGACAATGGGACATCCAGATCATATTTCCTTCTCTCTTCTTTCTCTAGTGTGTGGACGTCCTAAATATTCAGGCCGTATTGTGGGTGGCCAAGATGCCGTTGAGGGGCACTGGCCTTGGCACGTCAGCCTGTACTTCGGCCAGACATACATCTGTGGAGGTTCCCTCATCAGCGACAGGTGGATACTGACAGCAGCACACTGCCTAAAAAGGTGAGTTCTAGGCTAATGGTTAGCACAGATAGAGTCTCAGTAAATATTTGAATGATTTCTTGACTGAACCAATAGACAAATGAAAGTGGCAAGATGAATAAGAAAAAGGAAACCCTAGGTATCTTGGACTAGGGACATGACAATGAGGTAGAAAAAGAAATAATGAAAATAGACACTGTATAAGAAACTTCTTTTGGTTGTTAATCCTCACCTGAGGATATTTTTCCACTGATTTTTAGAGTGAACAGAAGGAAGGAAGATAGACAAAGAGAGAAACATTGATGTGTGTGAGAGAGAGATTGATTGGTTGTACCCCAGCTGCACTGGAAATAGAACCAGCAACTGAGGCATGGAGCATGTGCCCTTGACCAGAATCAAACCCGTGACCCCTTTGGTCTGCAGGCCGATGCTCTTCCTGCTGAGCCAAACTGACTAGGGTGAGAAACGTTTCTTACTTTTTGCCAAATTACTTGCTAAACACCAGTCAGGGGATTTTGTCTTAAGCTTGTGGGTCATAAACACTGTCTGAGCCTTGAGTGAAATAAGGTGCCATATGGAAAGTAGCCCCTAGGGATTACTTGATATAAAACTAACATTACTAGCCAATAGCTAGTGAAGACTCCAAGCCTGCCATCATAAATGAGTCTGGAAACATCCTCCCTGAATCAAACTTTAAAGTTGACTACAGCTCACCTTGATCACAGCCTTGTGAAAGACTTTGAGTCAGAGGCACCCAGTAAGTCACACCTGATTCTTGGCCTATAGAAATTGTGAGATAAATGTATGTTTTAAGCCTCTAAGCTTTGTGGTAACTTGTTATTTGACCATAGATAATATATACAGAAATCAAAACAACATGACTTTTCAACAACACTGCAAGGTCAAAGAAAATAAAGAAATAACTTTAAAATACTGAGAGAAAATTATTTTCAATCTAGAATTCTACTTATATGCAAACCATCAATCATGTGAGGGACAGAAATAAGACATTTTCAAATATACAAAACAGCAAAAATATTACCTCTCATGCATATTTTATCAGGAAACCAAAGGAAAAAATGCTTTACCAAAATAAAGGGGGTGGGGGGGAGACAGGAAAACATGGGATCCAGAAAAAAAGATGATACGAAAATCCCAGGAAAATAATAAAAGTATCAAGATTGGAGCAAGAGGGCAGAGGGCTAAAAAAAAAAAAAAAAAAAAAAGGAGGAGGATGAGTATTGACATTAACATACTGAGAATTTTACATTTCAGGCAGAGTTTGGGAAGTGAATGATGAATTAATGATAGGTAATTAGAAAACTAAAGACAAAGAAGTAAGACTACATTATTAACTCTAGGACAAGCGCAAAAATTTTATAAGAAATGTATTCATAGGATCCATTATGGTCCAGTGGTGAATAATGTTTACAAGACACAAAAATACATTAAATATGGATCTAACACAAAATCATAATACTTGGTTAGGAATATGGTGAAAAGAAAGTGGGAGTTGGCAGTGATTGTTGGCTCAATCCGCACCTTTCACAATAGAAATACAGTATTCTATTAAGAAAATTAATAGCAATAAGTAGAGTTTCTTGAAAATACTAAGGAAAATATCTAAGAGTTGAAAAGTATTGTCTTTGGGTAAGGATTAATTGTGGGCAGTAGGGCAAAGAACTTTTGTATTTATTTATTTAATACATCTTATCAAATTATTTAACATTTCAAATTACATATATACATATCTAACTATATATAACAGGTGATTATACTTTGCTTTAAATTGTTATTAGAAATAAAGGTCTAGTGCTCAGAAATAAAAACTGGCAATAAAAAAGGCCAATGACTATTAAGCATACAGGTGATGGCTGAAACCATGGAGAACGGGAGAGGTGAACAAGAGAACCAGAGAAAAAATGCAGGACAAAATGCTGACCATAAGCATAGAAGAGGAGACCACAGAAACATTAGACAACAACAAAAAAGAGCAATCAGGGAGAGAGGGAGGAAGAAATGCAGACAAACTAACTCTAGTCAAGTTGGAAGCACCCTGGTTAATTCCAACTTTGCTATCCTTTCTCATGGGGTGTTAACTGCTTGCTACACCTTAGGCAGCTTGTTCTGACCCAGCTGTAACACATATGCATGCTTCACTTTTATTCTCCTCTTTCTCTTCCCCTTAGGACCTGGATGCCTTTCTTACATTATACTGTGTGGTTGGGAACGATGAAAATAGACTATTTAAATAGTGGTGTGAAACATTATGTGCTTAGAACAATTTTCCATCCCCAATCCCAAAATACAACTGCAGACATTGCCTTATTGAAACTGATCCCTAGAGTCACCTTCACTTCTTTTATCCTGCCCATCTGCCTGCCCAATGTCACAAAGCAGATGACAATTCCTGGCTCTTGCTGGGTGACTGGATGGGGACAAGTTCATGAAACTGAAGGTGAGCATGGGTAGAGAAAGGGGTTGTTTTATATGTTACCCTCTTATACCCATTCCAGAACACTCAGATTCTAGATACATTTTTACCAAAGTAAATATTTTTCAACAAAACCAGATCAACCTATTCATATTATTTGTAAGTCTTCAAATAAAATGTAATTTTTGACATTTATATTTCTATTTACTCATATCCTGTCTAGAGTCTAGCTTTAGCTGTGCAAGAGCAGATACTAAAACACATAATCACCTCTCTGAAACAGGTTAAAAAACTTGTTTTAAAGTTTGGAGAGAGTGTAGTGTTTTTAATTTGTTTTTAAAGTGTATTGTCAACTGTTTCCCAAGATGGGGTAAAGACAGGACAAGAAATGATCTGGGAGCAGGAAAGTAGGGAAGGTAAAAGTTTGAGAATATTCACATCCTTCCTTAATCAAAATATATCTGAATTTCTCTTTATTTGGAATGTCAAGAGTACCCCACATTGGCACATTAGATAAACCTCAAATAGAAATAATTTTGAATTATCTGTTGTTTTAGATTAAATGTTCCGAAAAAATTCTTCCACTAGCAAATATGAATGGAAAGTGATTATATTCTGCTTTTGGATTCCCATTCAGAAGTTTTGTACATCATGACTGAATACCGTCCCAGTACCTTTTCAAATTGCTTTTCCTTTAATTCATCTCTCTCTACAGGTACTGATTACGCTTCCACCCTCCAGGAAGCAGAAATACTCGTCATTGACCGCCAAACTTGTGAATATCTCTACAACCCACTCATCGCAGTAGCACCAGAATTAGAGACAATCATCAAGGAAGACATGATTTGTGCTGGTGAAAATCATAAAAGGGATAGCTGCAAGGTTAGGGTTTACTCTTTAAATTTTTAGCATAAAGTCTTTTTTTTTTCTTAATTTATCTTTATTGTTGAAAGTATTACAGATATCCTCTTCCCCCTGTTGGCCCAATCTAGCTCTCTCTCACCTTCTGCACACTATTGTCTGTGTCCATGAGTTATACATATGAGTTCTTTGGTTAATTTATTCTCATCCACCCCTACCTTCCCTCTGAAATTCAGTTTGTTCCTTGTTTATATGTCTCTGGATCTATTTTGTTTACTAGTTTATTTTGTTCATTAGATTCCTCATATGAGTAAGATCCTGTGATACTTACCTTTCTCTGACAGGCTTATTTTGCTTACCATAATACTTCCCAGGTCTTAATGTGGATCTAGGTATTTCTATCTGTAAACAACAGTGGATTAGGAATCAGGAGATAAAAATTCTGACAATAATTCTTGTGTTAGTCTGGACAAATCACTTAACCTTTTTCTAGGAATTTAATCTCTTCAACTGTTGACTTAGAGCATTTCTAACCATTGGTCGCTGGGTTTTTACAAACTCGTAAATTTTTCTAAATAGATTAAGAGGTTGATACAGAATTGGCAACTTTTTTATTTTTTCAAGTAATAAAATTTCATTCTACATTTAAAGATGTTATTCCTCTGTCTCCTGATCATAACTGTCTGGTGAAAAATTAGCCATCAGTTGTTTCTTCCTTTTCTGAGTGTGCCGTGTTTTGCTCTGGTTGCTTTCAATTTTCCTTCATATTTGTTTGTAAGGATTGTGATATTCTGTGTTTGGTTTTTGTTGTATTTATCCTGTTTGGCATTTGTTGAGTTGGGGTTTTTTTTTTTTTTTACTTTTTTTTAATTTTTTATCAAAACTTGAAAAGTTTTGCCGAAACCGGCTTGGCTCAGTGGTAAAGCGTCAGTCTGCGGACTGTAGGGTTCTGGGTTCGATTCCGATTAAGGGCATGTACCTTGGTTGCGGGCACATCTCCAGTGGGGGGGGTGCAAGAGGCAGCTGATCGATGATTCTCTCTCATCGATGTTTCTGACTCTCTATCCCTCTCTCTTCCTCTTTGTAAGAAATCAATATATTAAAAAAAAAAAAACTTGAGAAGTTTTCATTCAGGATTTCTTCAAATATTATTCTACCTCATTCCCCTTTTTTCCTCTTCTGATTAAAACCACAAATTTATAACTTTCACCTTTTGATATTTTCACACAGGTCCTTGAACCTGTTCATTTTATTTTTCTCCTTTTCAGTTCTTTAGATACTTTTAAATTAATCCATATTCAAGATCATTGTCTCTTTCCACTGTCACCTATATTTTCTTGTTAAGTTCATCTAGTGAAATTTTACAAATATTTTATTTTTCAGTTCTAAAATGACTATTAGAACTGAAAAATAAAATTTTTTATTTTTTATTTTTCCCCCTCTCAAAGGCACAGGTGAGCACACACACACATATACACACACTACACTTTTCTATATCTCTACCAAGAGATTTTCTATCTATATATTCATTATGTAACTCAAATAATGAAACATGACTTCACATTCACTCGGATGGCTACAATCAAGATAGATAATGACAAGAGTTGATAAGAATCTGGAAAAATTGGAACCTTCATACACCTAGTAAAATGGTACAGCTGCTTTGGAAAATTGTCAAGTAGTTCCTCAAAAGGTTAAATATAGAGTTACCACATGACCCAGGAATTCCACTCTTAGGTATACACACAAGAGAAATAAAAACATGTTTATAAAAAACTTGTAAATAAATGTTCATAATAGCATAATTCATAATAGCCAAAAAGTGAAACAACTCAAATGTCTACCAACTGATGGCTAGATCAGTGTTTTTCAACCTTTTTTGGGCAAAGGCACACTTGTTTCATGAAAAAAATCACGAGGCACACCACCATTAGAAAATGTTAAAAAATTTAACTCTGTGCCTATATTGACTATATATAAAGTAATTCTCTTGAATAGGAATCAAATAAACACAAAGAAAGTATTTTATAATTACTTTATTATGAAATATTAAGTAAACAAAATAGTGAAAAATTATAAAATTCTTGTCTTGTCTGCACCTACGGCACACCAGGCAACATCTCGCGGCACACTAGTGTGCCGCGGAACAGCGGTTGAAAAACGCTGGACTAGATGAACAAAATGTGGTATATCTATATAATGGGATATTATTCAGCCATTAAAAGGAATTGAGTACGAATACATGCTACAACATAGATGAACCTTAAAAAGAATATGCCTAACGAAAGAAATAAAATACAAAAGGTCACATATTATTCCATTTATACAGAATGTGCAAATCCATAAGGCACAAAGTAGATTACTGGTGTTGGTCTAGAGTTGGGAGAGGTGGGAGGAAATGAGGATGACTGCTGATGGGTATAGGTGATGAAAATATTCTAAAATGTGTCATGGTGATGGTTGAGCAACATTGTAAATATATTAAAAACCCACTGACTTGTATACTTTAAATGGGTGAATTGTATGGTTGTGAATTATAACAAAGGCTGTTACAAAAAGGAAAAAAGGAAAATTAAAGACATATTACCAACTATTTACTTATTACTATCATTTTATAAGAGAAAGGATTGACACTAAAAAAGGCAATAAGAACCTAAGAACATAATAATAAGGGCAGTACATTAAATAACTTCAGTGAGCCGAAACTGGTTTGGCTCAGTGGTAGAGCGTCGGTCTGCGGACTGAAGGGTCCCGGGTTCGATTCCGGTCAAGGGCATGTACCTGGGTTGCGGGCACATCCCCAGTAGGGGGTGTGCAAGAGGCAGCTGGTCGATGTTTCTCTCTCATTGACGTTTCTAGCTCTCTATCTCTCTCCCTTCCTCTCTGTAAAAAATTAATAAAATATATTTAATATAAATAAATAAATAAATAAATAACTTTAGTGAAAAAACTTATCACATGAATTTTCTACCACAATATTTTGAAACTACTGATATACCAATTTCAAATTCTATAACTCTAAAATTTCTGTGATTTCCTGCCTAATACTGTGGGATGCACAGCTCCTTCTAGAGTTCTGTAGCTTCACAGCCTCCAATGCCCCATCCTAAGGAACTCTCCACCTCCTGTGACCACATTCCTATTCATGGTCTTTTTCAGTATGCTCATGACCTTTATCTCTTCCTTAGGGTGATTCTGGAGGGCCTCTGTCATGTCATATTGATGGTGTATGGACCCAGATAGGGCTGGTAAGCTGGGGAGAAAGATGTGCTAAATCTCTTCCTGGAGTTTACACCAATGTGACCTACTATCAAAAATGGATCCAAGCCACTATATCAAGAGCTGAAGTTTGGGGGCCAATAATCTGGACTTATCTGATTTATTGTTCCCTGCTTTGCTGTTCTCTTTGGCTCTCCTGGGACCCTCCTGTGCGCCTTTGGGCCTAACATCTTACCAAGAGAGTACACAGTGAAGCTAAAGCCTCGGAAGAGAAAGCATGAAGAATAAGTCCCAGTACAAAGAATGCACAGAACAGTCACTAGGAACTCAGGATAACTTTATTAAAATGATTATAAATAATTCTGTTTCTGAAGTTCTTGATTCTGAAGTATGGTTTAGTGGCTTGAATGTGAACAGCTGAGAAATAGGGTTGCTACTTCTGTGCACGGCATTCTTTGGGCAAGAAGGATGCCTTCTGTGAATAAGTATTTATGGAAATAAATGAAATGGCTACTGGAGAAGAAGGGAAAAAAAAAGTGTCTGTGAAGGCAAAAGGGAAAGTCCTCAAGGAAATAAATTAAGGTTTTACTTCCTGCCCATGGGCTGCATTATGGGCTTCTAATGGGTCTATTATTTCTTATCTTCACTACTGTCCTATGTTTCCCTTCTGTAGCAAGGGTTCTAGTAAGAAATACATTTATGTGGTTCAGCTCTGGAATTTTTAGAAATTTTTACACTTTGAAATACCAATATAACATACTGCCAAAAATGGATTAATGCCATGGTTACAAGAGCTGAAATCTTGGGTTTCAATAACCTGGACTGATCCAGGTAAATAACAATTGTTTAGTAAAGTAGTTTAAATGTTTATAAGAAAAATGTTATATTCCTTATTTAACTAACATCCTTCTTTTGTTAAACAATCACATGATTTATACTACCGTGTTTCCCCGAAAATAAGACATCCTCCGAAAATAAGACCTACTTACAGATTTCCTTCTGAGTGAAATATAAGGCATCCCCCGAAAATAAGGCCCCCCCCAGGCTAAACATGAGAGATTTGGTCCACTGATTCTGAAAGAAATGAAGTCACAAGAAATTCACCAGGAAATTCAGGAATTGGATTGTTATGATGATGTTCCAGAAGATGATGACATAATTGTCATTGAATAAATGAGTAAATTCTTGATACTGTAGGATTCACAGTTTGTCTGGTTTGTGTTGACAACTACCGTACTACCGTACCGTATACAAGTAATAAATTTCCTTTATTTTCATTTAACAATAAATGTGTACCGTATTCTTCTTCATGGAAAAATAAGACATCCCCTGAAAATAAGACCTAGTGCATCTTTGGGAGCAAAAATTAATATAAGACACTGTCTTCTTTTCAGGAAAGCAGGGTATGTCCTTCTCTGCCTAGGCTTCCAGGAGATCAGAGCTAAGTTTTAAACTTAAGCTCTGTCATCATTTTTATCCTAGATTATCCTATCTAATAAAAGAGTAATATGAAGATTACTCCAACACACAAGATGGCTGCCCCCATGTGGTCAAAGATCCTGCCCCCATGTGGACACAAGATGGCCACCACAAGATGGCCAGCAGGGGAGGGCAGTTGAGAGGGACCAGGCTTGCAAGGGAGGGTAGTTGGAGGTGACAAGCCTGCAGGGGAAGGCAGTTAGGGGTGACCAGTCTGGCAGAGGAGGGAAGTTGGGGGCAAACAGGCAGGCAGGGGAGCAGTTAGACATCAAACAGGCTGGCAGGGGAGTGGTTAGGGGGTGATCAGGCTGGCAGACAGAAGAGGTTAGAGGCAATCAGGAAGGCAGGCAGGCGAGCAGTTGGGAGCCAGCAGTCCTGTATTGTGAGAGGGATGTCTGACCGGAATCGGGCCCAAAGGGACAGTGGGACATTCCACGAGGGATCCCAGATTGGAGAGGGTGCAGGCTGGGCAGAGGGACACCACCCCCATGCATGAATTTCGTGCACCTGGCCTCTAGTCTGGTATAATTCCATTCATATTGTATTTGCCAGCGTATAAGACGACTTTTGAAACGAAAAAAAGCCTGCTCAGATTGGCCAGAGTCAGAGAGGCGGTTTATTAAAAAAAGAACTGGTGTTGCCTTGGAAGTGGGAGGTAGTCTTATACAGCGAATATAGGCCTAAACCTATGTTTTAACTGTAAAATTAGGGGGTCATCTTATGCGCCAGAAAATACGGTACCCCTTTTTACTTAAAGCATTTCTCATTTGAATAAACTTAAATTTTATCACATCTGTATAAGTTAATTTTTAAAAATATTTTTTGGGATAAATATTTAAAAGAAGTGAGGTTAGGTTTGGAAACATAAAATCTTTTCTAACCCCTGCACTCACCTCTCATCTGGTCTGCCACAATAGCCTGCTAACTGGAAGTAACACCTCCTTTCCCTCATTTATACCTATGCTTAACTCCATTTATTTTTTTCAGTATTCAGGCTGTTTTTAAAATAAAGGTATGTTTTTATACTTTTCTTCCCCTTTCCCCTGCTTACAGCACTTGAACTGCATCCATGCCACTGCTCCTTAACAAGACCCACCAAACCCTGTAGCATTTGACCCCAGAGGATGCCTCATTCAGCATCATTCCATCCTGCTCTACATGCTTTCACTTCTTCAAATACTCCAAGCTCCCTCTTGGCACTGGGCTTTTTAATTGATTTCAGATTGGAAGGGGGAGGGAAAGAGATAAAAATATCAATGATGAAAGAGAATAATTGACAGGCTGCCTTCTGCATGCCCCCTACTGGGGATCCAGCCCACAACCTGGGCACGTGCCCTCGATCAGAATGAAACTCAGGACCCTTCAGTCTGCAGGCCAATACTCTATCCACTAAGTCAAAGCAGCCAAGGCAGTGCTGGACTTTTGCATCTGATAGTCTCTCTTTCCTGCTGCCTTTGCCTATTTAATTCTTATTGTGCCTTCAGATCTCACTTCACCCTTCACTTCGTCAAGGAGGCTGTCCCTGCTCTCCTGACCAGAACAAATCCCCTAATATATATTCTCACGGCATTATTGAGCACTCCTTCATAGGACTCAACACAGCTTTAACATTTGTTTGTATAATCTTTTATTTAATGTATGTATGTCTTAACAAAATCTATGTATGGTCCATGAGAGACATAAATTTGTTTTTGCCAATCACTATATCCCAATCTTAATAAATATTTGCTACATGAATGAGTGAATGAATGAATAACACTCAAACCTCTTTGTCTCCCCAACTGAGAACCTGGGGGTTTTATTTATTGGAGGTGACCCAGAACCTGGCATAGTGTCTTATACAATAGGTTTTCAAATATTAAATTAAAAAATGAAAAAAAAAATGTTTCAGCCTAGTCTCTCCAACCATAACAAACAAATGAGAGAAGAGTACAAAAAGCAAGTAAATGGAAAGGTTTCTCAGAAGCAAGAATTGATGTTAAGCAAACTCTAGAATGACATGGAAGGCAAAGCAAAATGGCAATTGAAAGAAAAGAACAAGAGAAAGAAAGGAGGGGTTTGAAGAGAGGACAGATTAAAATGACAATCCAGAGACCAACAAATGTTTGAGTCAGAAGGACACAACAACAGGACATAAAGAAAGCCAAATATTTCTGCCTATCATTCCCTAGACCTTAGGAACAAATGTTTCACAGCATGGCAAGTAGCAAATTTTTTCTCAGGAACCTAGAGTTGAAATTCAAGTTTTTTCAAGGAAGGAACCCATTTAAGTGGGAAGAAGGGGATATTGAAAGAAGAGGACCATGTGACATCATTGTCCTGGCTATTACTGGTTGGATGTATCAGAATGAGCATCTGACTTAATAGCTGATCAGAGGGTGGTGAGGCAGTTGGTCTAGCATCTTTCTCAACAGATGTACTCAATACTTGACAACCCAACAGATCCCTTCTCCTGGGAAGTCTGAAGATTAGTATACATTCAACAGTATTAAGTGCCCACAATGATCCAGGCATCATTCCAGGCATTAAGGATACTGCAGTACACAAAACACATCAAGCCTGTCTTCAAGGAGTTTACATTCATTCCAGTGGGGGAGGAACAATATAACCAAATACAAAGTAAATGTTTATTATAATGTCATATATAGGAAAATATGATAAAGAAAAATAAAACAGAAGCAGCAAATAGAGAGTGTCAGAGTGAGAGATTCCACTTTAGATTAAATGGTCAGAGAAGTTTCTCCAAGAAAGTGACATTTCAAAGAGGCCTGCATAAAGGAGGGAAGCAAAAACAAACAAACACCCTGAGGAAGAACATTCCAGATAGGGAGAACAGCAAGTACAAAGGTTCTGAGGTGCAAGTATGCTTAGTGTATATAAGGAAGAATAAAGAAGTCAATGTTGGCACATTGTGAGCACAGGGGGAGAGGGATAGGAACTGAGATCAGAGAGGGAGCCAAGCCTCTCAAAGAAGGAACTAGCAGGTGATGCAGAGCCTGGTAGGCCTCAGTAAGAACTCCGAATTTCATTCTTATGAGAAGACACTGGAGGGATGAGGACAGAGGAATGATGAAAGAATAGAACAGAAAATTGCCATACCATGCTCATGGGATTATGTCGAGTCCATGAGGGGGCTAGAATGATGGAGAGGGTAGATGATGATAGCAGAGTTAAACAGGCTGAATAGAGAATGAGAATCAGGGGGAAATACTCTAAACCAATGTGCTAATGAGGAAAACACTAGAAGGCTATGATACCCTAAACATCAGTAAGGAAGGTTTGATTCTATGGAACTATTTGCTATTTTTTGTCTATTCTTCCTAATCCCTTAGAATAAGGCTCCATTAATGGATGTGAAGGAAAACAGAAGCCCATTCTTCCTTCCATCTACTCTATAATTCATCACTAAGACACCTACCTTACTTTCTATTTGTTTTTTCCTCATACTCAGACCAATATTCTTCTCATTCCTTCATTTTATTTCCACCTCCAGGCCTTATTTTATCAGTTCCCTGTACCTGGAACACCTCTTATACACCTCTATCCATTTATTTCTTTCCATTGACTGGAAACACATCGAAAGAACCACAGAAAATGGTTTTTTAAATTAACGGGGAATGGGTGAACTAGAGTATGTGAATTATATCTCAATAAAGCTGCTTTTTAAAAAATGAACAGGGAAGTGTTTCTCCAGCTTAAAAAACAAACGACGAGGCTGTGATGTATTTAGGACTCTCTGAAGATCTTCTAAATAATTCATGTGATTATCTTTGTTAAAAAGCTCAAACTAATTACATACATTTTCTGTTTTAATTGCTACAGCACAAGATGTAAAGTTTAACCCAATTAATGAGATAAAGCACCTGGTAGCTTTATTACTGATAATGAATTTAGTCAATGACACCACAAACTGACCAAATGAGGAAATAAATAGAAGTATCTTTACATTTTATTTGAAAGGGGACTCAACAGCATTTCTGCCTTAAATGTCAATTTTAATTTGCAAAATACTTTATTCTTTCGAATATCTGATTTAATTTGCTCCAATTTTCATTTTCATACCTTGAGGAATTTTAATTAAGGTGGAATTTGCTAAGGTCACATTTAACATAAAAGCTATATGTACTAAGGCTGCTGAAAACCAACCTCAATTTTCTTCCCTAAAGGTGGGGAAAGTTATATAGTTATTTCTAGATCTTCTATCATATAAAAAAGAAATTATTTCAAGTGATCACCCATTTTCCACTTTATTTCACTAAATTGTAAAGACATCCCCCAAATGACAGAACATTACTGAAAAAGGATTCAGAATAAAATGTAAAAGTTATATTTTGATATTATTTCAACAATGAGTATTTTGTTTTTTCATATGTTTGACTTCATTCTGAAATGACAGTATCTGACTATGTATAATTTATTTGCATTCTAGAAATCAACTGTTTCAGAATTTTGTTAAACATGTTCCATCTTCAGGAAGGGGAGAAAGAATGCGTCATTCAGTATAACTAGAGATTACATCAATTTTATGTCCCACTTTATTTTTATTTTTTATTTTTTAAATATATTTTTTTTTATTGATTTTGTACAGAGAGGAAGGGAGAGAGATAGAGAGTTAGAAACATCGACGAGAGAGAGTCATCGATCAGCTGCCTCTTGCACACCCCCACTGGGGATATGCCCGCAACCAAGGTACATGCCCTTGACCGGAATCGAACCCGGGACCCTTCAGTCCCCAAGCCGACGCTCCATCCATTGAGCCAAACCGGTCCCGGCTTATGTCCCACTTTAATAACTGAGAGAAAACGATCACTGTCATAAGAATAAAGACAATTGAAATCTTTAATGGAAAATTTGAATTGCTTTTCAGGATAATTATTCTCAGCCAACCCAAATTCTTTTTATAGCATATTCTACCATGTAAATCTTCACTTCCCATCCTCATGTGGTTAGAATAAAGTGATTGGGGTGTAATCCTGTGGCACTCGGTGCCATGCTCTGACACCTAGACCACACTGCCTTGTACCATAAATTAGCTATGAATACCCAAGAGTGAAAGAACAGGATAGGATGAGGGCCTAAGGATCCAAAATGCTAAAGTCACTCTGATTTTAGTGGAAATTAATGAGAACATATTCTAGATACAGTTGATAGAGTCCAGATACAGTTGGTAGATTTTAGAAGCAGCAGAACTGAAATTACAGTTTGACTGGATTTGTACTGACTTGATGGATTGGATGTGGGTAGTAGAAGTGAGGGTGGTAATTGGGATTAGGAGTTTGGTAAAGATAAGAATTTAAAAAGAGAAATCAAGAATGACTCCCAGATTGCTGGTCTGAGATTGGTCATATTACTAAATGAAATGAGGAAGGCTGGAGGAGAAACAGATTTGTTGGGCTATCAAATCCAATGTAGGCTGAATACTGGCCTCAAAGATATCCATGTCATAATCCCCAGAACCTGTGAATATGTTACTTTACCTGGTAAAATAATCTTTGCCCATATGATTAAGTTAGTATCTTGAGATGGGAAGATTATACTGAATAATTTGGATATGTTTCGTTAATTCCAAATATTCTTGTAAAGATTGCAGGAAACTGAAATGCTTATGAGACTATTCAGAAAGTGTAAGGATGGGAGCAGAAATAAGAGAGGAGGGAAGACACTGTGCTGCTGGCTTTGAGGATGAAGCAAGGAGCCATAAGCCAAAAAGTATAGCTGGCCTCTAGAAGTTAAAAATGGCAAAGATGTGGCCGGTACCGGTTTGGCTCAGTGGATAGAGCATTGGCCCGCAGACTGAAAGGTCCCGGGTTCGATTCCGGGCAAGGGCATGTACCTTGATTGGGGCCACATCCCCAGTAGGGGGTGTGCAAGAAGCAGCTGATCAATGATTCTCTCTCATCGATGTTTCTTCCTCTCTGTGAAAAATCAATAAAATATATTTTTTAAAAAAATGGCAAAGATGTGATTCTCCCCTAGAGCTTAGGGATGGAATGCAGCCCTACAAACAACTTGATTTTAGTCCAGTGAAACTGATTTTAGACTTTTGACCTCCAGAACTGTAGGAAAATAAATTCATGTTGTTTAAAGCCATTAGATGTGGAGTAATTTGTTACAGCAGCAACAAGAAACTAATACATAAATGTTAAATTTGAGATGCCTATTAGATATCCAAGTAGATACGCTGAGTAGACAGACTGGGGAAAAAAAAAAAAAAATATATATATATATATATATATATATCCCTAATATGCAAATTGACTGAATGGCAGAACAACCAGTCACTACGATGTGCACTAACCACCAGGGACAGACACTCAACACAGGAGCTGCCCCAAGCCTGCAGGCCTTGAACAGTGCCAGCAGCAGGGGGAGGGGCTGACAAGTGGGCAGCGCCAGGCCAGCCAAGGTGGGTGTGAGCAGGGACTCCCTGATGGCCCCCCCAGTCACCCCACAGATTGGCTCTGATAGCCAGCCAGGCCTAGGGACCTTACCCGTGCATAAATTTCATGCACTGGGCATCCAGTAGAGAAATAAAATCAGAAGAATCTGTTTGAAGTATAAATCCTCATCCCCATAAATCAACATCCCAAAAAAGCACTCATGTACACGTACATTTGTTATGTAATTTCAAGATGTTCAAGAATCCTATATTCATAGAGCCTCCAGAATACTACAAGTAATCACAAAGCAGCCTGTTCTAACCCTGACAAGGAGATTGCTTTCTCTATAAGGAGGAGGAAACCAAGTAACTTTCCATTAAAAAAAAAAAAAAAAAAATCTTTAAAATTTCCCCCAATTCTGCTTTATGAAAAAACATCAAAATGTTACAGAAATATCTAACACAGAAAGTTCAAATGCCCGTGTAACTGCTTGTTCACACACCCTCATGCTTAAGAATGTGTCAATATGCCTCTGACTCCTTTTTAAATGTTTATACAGATGTATAGTTTTTTTATACTTGCCTTTTTAAATGGAGCTTGCTTTTTAAAATTAGCTTGTAATAACAGAAAACTGTCATTGCAACTGAAAAGCTTCCGAGTTGAAAGACCTTTGATTAATTTTATTAAAAATTCCATGTAATTAGCCTACACACACACACACACACACAAAAAGACAGCAGTTGGTTGATCAAAGAAAGTTTGTGTCAATGAATTTTAAACTATGAAAACATTTGGCCTTAAAAATTAAAAGTACTAGAGCATTTTCAAAGGCAAGAATCTTGGGTTTTCGAAGAAACTTCCTACCCATCCCCCTAGGTTCAATGAAGCTCTTTTTATTTCTAACACACAGAGCTAACATGAAAGGCGATAGTTTGGGGTTTTTTTTAATGCATTTGTTTCATATTCTTTTCGTCCAGACACTACTGAGTTGGTATACAATGAAAAATATGTTAGCTCACTTAGAGGCCCAAAGAACTAGTTCCAAATTGAGCACAGCCAAACCTTTCTAAGAAGGAATAATCCACTGAACATCAACATGGAAGCATCCTATTGTTGGAATATGGTCAACACTGCTCAGTCAGCTGTGCTCAATTTTTTTCATCAAATGTTGGAGTCTCTATAAGTGAAAAACATCTATCAAATACTGTGTGAGTTCAAAAAATATGCTGTAGAAAAAAATCTTTCTAGAAAATGATTATGTTTTTACAACTATCAATATAAAAGTAAACTAAGCATAACAGGACAGACTTGGCTATTCCCAGAAGAAAAATAAAGAGAAAATGGTGAAAGCCCATGTTAAATTTGAGCTTTAAGGTTTGAATGCAGAGAAATAACACAATCCGTTTGCATTTTAGAAAAATCACTTTGGTGGTTGTGCAGAGAATGAATTACAGAGAAACAATTCAGAAGTTAGAAAGGCTAGTTATAAGACTGTTGCAAATGGTGATAGAAGCCCACACCAGGTAGCAATGAGAATGGAGAGAAGAGATTCAAGAGCCACAAAGGAGGTAGATCCAACAGAATACGGCAACTGACTAATTACATGTAAGTACTCAAGGTTGAGGGAGAAAGTTAAGAATTTCACCCAGGTTTCTTGCTTAGGCAACTTAAGGTATGTCATTCAGTGAGATATGAAACCTTAGAGAAGATAGCTTAGGGATAAGAAATGTAAATTAAGACATCAAGAATCTATGAAAAAGAAATCCAAACAGACACATTTCAATCTTACATTGTACATTTGTTAAATAAGCAAGTTGAGAGAATTAGAATATATTCCAAAAGCTTAACTTTTCCAAATTCTAATTACTTACTAGTTGCACAGAATTTGTGAAAAATAATACATACACATAAGGCCCTGGCTAAGAAGCTCAGTTGGTTAGAGTGTCATCACAATATATCAAGGTTGCAGATTCAATCCCCATCAGGATACAAAAACAAAAACAAAAACAAAACAAAAAACCAACCAACCAACAAATACATAAATAAGTAGAACAGCAAATCAATATTTCCCTCTCTCTAAAATCAATAAATTTAAAGCACACACACATTAGTTTCAGTCTGCTCACATTAGTGAACCTCTTAAGGATGTTGTATTAGATATTGTTGTATCAATAGTTCATTGTCCTCGCAGTGGAAGGACTATCCACTTACTTGAGGTGCCAGGTGAATTGCAGGACATTCTGCAAAGCAGGATTACGCTTCCCTGCATCACTAACATAAATCTGACCAAACGTGTAAGAGTATAAGTTATATATGTTTAGTCTTAAAAGCTGGCACATGATTTGTTCATTGCTCTTATTCCCAGATAGTGTGAACCCTAAGAAGACACCTAAGAGACTAAGAAGGACTCCTAGTGGCTCAAATTAAACAAAAACCAAAACAGGACCTAGCAGCCATTTCAACACGGGGGTCTTATACACAAACTGCACTTCAAGGAGAAGCCTGCACTTAACTACCTGCAGACAAGGAACTGCCTGCACCCACTGTTTCTACCACCTGAGCCAGCCCTTATAAAGAAGTTCCTAGAATCCTATTTCAACCAATAGGACTGAGGCTTTCCCCATCTGATCAGAGCTGCACAGCTCTGACCAACCAGCGTGGCTCTATTCTGACCAATCAGGACAGTGCCGTCATTTGCATAGGACAGACCAATCAGGGACCAGGGCAGGTACTTCTGTTCATATAAGCCAGCTCCCCTCAACTCCTCTGGCTCTGAGAGTGCACTTTCCCTTTCCACTAAAGGCTGAAGACTGTGATTCCTACAGCAGAGCAGACCAGTGCTGTGCAAAGCAAACCAGCAAGAAGAACAAAGCCACCCCTCCAACAGCAGAGCAGAGCTGTCTAGCCAAAGGAGAGGCCCGGCCCAGGGTTATCTCACAGCTGAGCCGTTTCCAGAGCCATACTATATAATAATTGAACTGTTTTGTACTGAATAAAGTTTCTTTTCACCAAACCCCAAATTGGGAATTCCTGTTGATGTTGAATTGTGCCAATGATCATCATAGGTTGACAACAGGTATTGCTCCTTCATCCAGGATCCCAAAATGAAGAAGTGAGGTTGAGCTGTGGGGTCACCAGTTGAGTATAACAGTTTTAAGATATTGAGTTCCAGATGCTATTTGTTAAAACAGCATTAATAACAAAATAGCCGAAGCCGGTTTGGCTCAGTGGTAGAGCATCTGTCTGCGGACTGAAAGGTCCCAGGTTCAATTCTGGTCAAGGGCATGTACATTGGTTGCTGGCACATCCCCAGTAGGGGGTGTGCAAGAGGCAGCCGGCCGAAGTTTCTCTCTCATCGACGTTTCTAGCTCTCTATCTCTCTCCCTTCCTCTCTGTTAAAAATCAATAAAATATATTTAAAAAAAATAAATAACAAAATAGAAGGTAAACTGGTATCTAACAAATAATATTTTTTTTGTGTGTTTCTCCTCTTCTAATAAAAATTTCTGGCTATCTGCTAAGAAGCAATCTGATGGAAAAATTAAAAAGTTGGTCCAAGTATACCAAAACTAAAGAATTATGAACCTGAAAGAAAACTTTCTGTAAAGGGCTACATGGTAAATATTTTAGGCTTGCAAGCCACACAGATATAGCACGAAAGCAGCCATAGAAAACATGTAAATGAATGAGCATGTCTGTGTTCTAATAAAACTTTATTTACAAAAACAGCAGAGAGCCAGATTTGGCATACAGATCTATAGTTTCTAAACCATTGGTCTAAATTAGGGGTGTCGAACTCAATCAGAGAAGGGGCCAAAGTCTAAAATCCAGCCTAAATCGCAGGCCAAATGGTTTACTGAACAGTCATAAACTGTCATTGTGATGGAAACGCAGTGGAGTGCAGTGATGACAGCGCAGTGAGGGCCACATTGCAAGGCCTGGCGGGACGGATTTGGCCCGTGGGCCTTATGTTTGACACATGTGGTCTAAATCCTTCATATTCAAGGATTCCAAGACCCAGAGAGATTAAATCAAGGTCACACAGCTGGCTACTGGCAGGTGGAGCATTAGAATATGGTCTCCTGAGTGGAGTCCTCTAGAATAGATTCTGTTGGGCCACAAGATTGAGATGAAATACACAAGAAAAAACAAAGAGAATCAGAGAATGGCAAGGTAGTTTTTGATTATATTAAACAGCTTTTCAAAGTTTAGTTATAAATGAGGATTTGCTTTTCAAGAGATTATGGCTTTCATAAAAACAAGTGAGTGTCATAAAAATCAAACAGGTAAACAAATGATCAATTAGCCAGTGTTTGAAAAATGATCTTCAGAGGAAACTATTCTATACTTCCTTCCTATTATCATTTCCTTGAACACTTTATCAAACACTTGTTTTATCAATAGGACAGCATTTACTATGATCACTGCAATAACTTACCTTAAGGCAAAACAGGTTTTTTTTTAAAAAAACAAAACACCGTAACATGAGCAACAAATACACTAGGCCAGCAGCAGGCAATTGTTTCTCTTAGTACTTTAAATTTATTTTTATTATTTCTAATTTCCAAAGTAATACTCATTTGGAGGAAACTCAAACAATACAGAAGTATTTAAAGTGACACATCCCATGCTCTGCTCAATTCCATTGCCCAGAGTGTTAACACATGACCGATTTACATCAGAACAGTTAATAAAACTCCTTTCTTTGAGCTACTCTTTACAACAGAGGAAGGAGGAGTTCCCCTGGCCAGATATCCCTTTGAAATCGTGTTTTTAAAAGCATCAGAGAGGTTAGGGGTTGTCTGTGGCTTGCAAGTGAGAAAAGCAAGCTGCCCATGCACTATAACCAGATGAGTGAGGCTCCTGGAATACCTTGGTAATACTAATGTAGAATGTACAAACACTTCAAAAATGAATATCCATTTCTTCTCTTTTGGTATTTTACTAGGAAAACTTGGGCCAGTTCTCTCAGGAAAATTGCAAAGTAAGAAACTCCAAAAGTTTGTCCTCCATAAAAGCAATAAAAAACTGGCAGAATTCAACTTTTTTGGAATTCTGGGAACTAATCAAAAGCTTGTAGAAAACTACTTGCTGCACTTCCTAACCGTGAAACCTTTAAAACCAGCTGGATGTTGGTTAGAGCAGTGAGCTTTGGGGCATTTCCCCCATCCTCCAGCTCAGTCTGCCTCTCTGGTACCAGGAACAGTCCCAAAGGGCGCACAGAGGGACCTCATTCATAAATAATTATAATAATTTGCGTTTGCCTGTCTGGTGGTGCCTGGAAAACTGGCACAAAAGATGACTTACCCGTGCCTCATTCAGAACTCTCCTTAGGGCTAAAAACTGGTTAGCTGGAAGGAATTTGTTGAAAAACATTTACAAGCAAAAAATAATTTGTTGGTGCAGCGTGAAGACACCAAAGAGGTTGGGAGAAAAGGCTAGAGAATGAGAGGCTTTGGAGAAGGAGGACTTTGAAAAGCTCCCACATATTCCTGGGGATCTAAAAGACCATGTGCATTCCGAGAGTGTTGAGCGGTTTAAGTGCTGCAGACGTGCCTGTCCATGTAACACTGGTAACCAATGTGCTCCAACGAGGCAGCGCTGGACCCATCACTCACTTTGCTGCCTGAGGATTCATGCCCAGTAACGGGATGTAGGCAGCAAAGTGAGTGATCAGTGATCTCTGTTAAAAAAAAAAATCAAAAAAAAATCAATAATATATATTGGTTATATATATTATTGATTTTTAAAAAAATATATTTTATTGATTTTTTACAGAGAGGGATAGAGAGTTAGAAACATCGATGAGAATTATCGACCAGCTGCCTCCTGCACACCCCCCCACTGGGGATGTGCCTGCAACCAAGGTAGTACATGCCCTTGACCGGAATCGAACCTGAGACCTTTGAGTCCGCAGACAGACGCTCTACCACTGAGCCAAACTGGTTTCGGCTATTATTGATTTATTTTATCAATAATATATATTATTGATTTTGTTTTTTTACAGAGAGGAAGGGAAAAGGATAGAGAGCTAGAAACAGCGACCAGCTGCCTCCTGCACACCCCCTACTGGGGATGCGCCCGCAACCAAAGTACATGCCCGTGACCGGAATCGAACCTGGGACCTTTGAGTCTGCAGGCCAACGCTCTGTCCACTGAGCCAAACTGGTTTCTGCTCTCAGAAATAAATATCTTTTACACCCATCCCCCACATCACCCCCCCACACACACACACACAACTGAATGGTGGCGGCTCCGCTCTTCCCGGTGTCCCTCTCCTCACCTGGACATCAGCCTCCCTTTCTGGGCCAAATCGCCAGGGCGGCGTCTGAACTTGACCATCAGGTTCAATTGGGACCCAAGATGGCGGCGCCCGGGGCCTGAGAACAACGGACCGCTGAGGGACGCTTGTGCGCAGGCGCAGTGCGGGCTGCGGGGCCGCCAGGGGAAGGGCCTCAGCGCTCAGGGGTTCGAGGCCCCGCGGCGCTGCTTCACTTGGGAGGCCCTGAAGGGAGGCGTCAGGAAGGGCTGGGAGGGATGGGCTTGACATCCATTTGCTGCCCCTCGGCCCAGAGCCTGGCGCCAACTGCACTGA